TAGATTAGGGCCACGACACTGGTTTGATGTCGCTGCATTGTGGGAACGTGCCTTTATCAGCTCTAACAAGCCTTCTAATAAGATTACCCATTAGACAGGAGGTAGAGATGAGTGAATGTGCTACAAAGCAACAGGCCTTATCAGTATGTGTGATGAAGACACTGCTGTCTGTCTGATCTGCCATCTCTGCGCTGGTTTTCTCTTTCTGTCTGGTGAAGTTTTAATTGAAAAAGAGAACAATTAGGCTTTTTTTTTTTTCATTATCCCTCAATTTGATTTATACCTGACATGCAAGTCTGATTTTTATTCATATTTGATATTCATATTTATTCATATTTATATTCATCATGACATTCCAGTATGCACACAAGTTGAATTGTTAATTTAATCAAGGGTTGCCACATTTAATGCATTAATTTAATAATGAAAACTTAAAAAAAAAAAAAAAGTGTTTAAATATTGATTTAATTAAAGCAAGGTGATCATCATCATCATCAGGAAAATATCCCATATGAGTTTTTGTCACATTTTTAGTACATAGAGCTACCACAACTTTGCTTGTATTGATTTATCTATCAACTACAGTTGCAATCAAAATTATTACCCCCCCCCCCCTTTTTTTTATTTTTTTCTTTTTTTTTTCTTTTTTAAATATCTCCTAGGTGGTGTTTAACAGAGCAAGGGGGGTTTCACAGTATGTCTGATAATATTTTTCTTCTGGAGAAAGTCTTATTTGTTTCATTTCAGCTAGAATAAAAGCAGTTTTTAATTTTTCAAAAAACATTTTAGGTTAAAATTATTAGCCCCTTTAAGCTACAGTTGAAGTCAGAATTGTTAGTCCCCCTGAATTATTAGCATCCCTGTTTATTTTTTCCTTAATTTCCGTTTAACGGAAAGAAGATTTTTTCAACACTTTTCCAAACATAATAGTTTTGATAACTCATCTCTAATAACTGATTTATTTTATCTTTGCCATGATGACAGTAAATAATATTCTACTAAATATTTTCAAGACACTTCAATACAGCTTAAAGTGACATTTAAAGGCTTAACTAGTTTAATTAGGTTAACTTGGCAGGTTATGATAATTAGGCAAGTTGTATAATGATGGTTTGTTCTGTAGACTTAAGCTGTAGAAGTGCCTTGAAATCTATCAAGTAAAATATTATTTACTGTCGTCATGGCAAAGATCAAATAAATCAGTTTTTAGAAATGAGTCATTAAAACTATTATTCTATTATGTTTAGAAATGTGCTGAAAAAATCTTCACTCTGTTCAACAGAAATTTGAGAAAAAAATAAACGGGGGGGAAGCTAAGAATTCAGGGGGGTTTAATAATTCTGATTGCATCTGTCATTTTTTTTTTATTATTCAACAAATCTAAGTGATTAATTTCATGGAACTCCAACATGTGCATAAATTTTGAAGATGTGCTTTAAAACATTCAGGCAAAACTGAGCAGGATAAACTTGTATCCGATAAGAAGAAATGTGCATAAACTATGATGGAAACTAATTTACTGAATAAATTCCAAAAATTCATATGAATTTGCTTCAACAGATCATGTTATAACAAAAAAGTCTGAAAGTGACAGGTTTGTTTGGGTGGACTATGAGGTCTCAACTTTTTTAAATGAAAATATGAGAAAGAAGTGACGACCATCCTTGATTGAAAACATCAGTGGGACACAGTGTTGCCAAAAAGCAGTCTCTTGCCTTCAAAAGCAAGATAACCTGACTGCAAGTTATTATTTAAGTAAGCAAGTTATTGTATAACAATGGTTTGTTCTGTAGACTATTGAAAAAAAATAATATCTTAAAAGGGGTTAATAATTTTTACTTTAAAATGTTTTCTTTTTTTTTTTTTTTTTTTATTAAAACTGCTTTTATTCTAGCCAAAATAAAACAAATAAGATTTTTTTCCAAAAGAAAAAAAAACTATTATGAGACATACTGTAAAATTGCTTGCTCTGTTAAACATAATTTGGGAAATATTTAAAAAAGAAAAACAAATTCATAGGGGGGCTAATAATTCTGACTTCAACTGTATACTGTAGGTGCTGAACTGGACATGTAAAGCTGGCTTTCTACCACGGTTAAAATCGAGGAATCAGGGTTATGTCTATTCAAGCATACTTTGTTCAATTGATGAAGTGGAACACACCTTAAAATAGTGGCGAGGATTAAGAAAAACAAGAGAAGGAAAGTTTAGGAGTGTGCTTTGAAAAGTGGTGTGGAATGCCCCAGTGAGCTTGAAAAGTGGCCCTTAAAGTGCAAACACAAAACTAAATCATGGAAAGTGGCATCTAGACACTTTTTTTTACAGAATGTTCTTGCAAACTCTTGCATAGGTTGTGACTTGATGTATGGAGACTTTACTTTTACACTGTTCATTTCTAGTTACATCATATTGGTTGATTGACCAGACTACAATGATGTCAGTATAGACCAGATGGTTTGTTGTCTAGTTAAAGGTCTGTTTCCACAAGTCTAGCACATTGTTGACAGCTCAGGAAGTTTCCAGAAGATGCTTCCACACACCCTTCAGTGTGTCATGCATGTAATGCGGAAGTTCTTTCAAAGCCTTGAGCAAACTCATCACATTCGTAATCCTTGAACCCACAAAACAAACACATTCAAAGGCAAACACCTCCTCACTCTCTCCAAAGGCAAATCATACACTCTCAAACCAAGAAACGCCATCGGCAAAACTCAAAGTATCTGCTGTCTAGACTGCAATTTTACTAGAGTTCAATCGAAGTTTTGGGAACCTTTGTGTTACATTTTTTTCTTTCTCTAGCTGATGAAGTGAAATGTACCTGAAGAGCCCTTTAAATATAGATTGTGCTCATTTTAGGAGGTTGATTTTCTCTGAGGTAATGTTGTTTGTCATGAATGTGGAAACATTTTGAATCATGGATGAGGATATCTTGTTATTCAGTCATACGTCCCTGGTAGCTTCATTTATTAAAGAGCACATTCACAGAACAATATCAGTATTCATGCATTCTAATTGCAGTATGTTGACAACTTAGTCATATCTCTAATTATTCCATTGTCTTTTTTATTTGTTTAGATAAGAGTTTTACAGGCTTTTTAATTCCTTTGTGATTTTATATACTGTAAAGTGCAAATATTTGGGCACGCTTCTGTGGCTGCATAATAATTTGTTCTTTCTTTATAAGAGAAGATCACAGTGAAATGCCATTTGGTTTCTAGAGAAAGCTAGATAATGTCATGTTTTTCAGACAGAAATCTATATTGTAGCAGTACTGAGATTAAATTTTAATTAAATTGAAACTGAAAAAAATGTGCTATGCAAAAGTTTGGGCACCCTCTTTTTTTTGTGCGAGTTTCATAACCCAACGCAATCTCAGGGCAATTCGTAACTTTTTGATTTAGTGGCTAATTCGTATGAATTCGTATGATTTGTACAATTTGTTACGATTTGCTCATCACCCAATGACGGTTGGGGTTAGGGGTGAGGTTAGGTGCCATGCCTACTTTTTAAAACTAAACTCGTACAAAATCATACAAATTAGCCATTAAAATAACAAAACTTAAAATACTTGCAGTTCCTCGTTAGATCAGGCTGCATAACCTGTAGTCAGTAAATTCTGATTTATTACAACACAAAATCGATTTAAGTGACTTAGTGACCCTTAACAAGATGCAACCAATCATGAAAAAAGATATTTAGGATTGTTAGCTGATTGCTAGTTGTGTTTCTCCTTATTGTAAACCTGAAAGTAGCAACCTGGGAATCTCAAAAGAACTTCCTAATCACCTTAAAACTATGGAAATTCAATGAACAATGTTCAGGAATCAGTCAAGAGGCTGAAGTTACAGCAGGATTGGATGTTTCAGTAGGACAATGACCCAAAGCACAGTTCCAGATCTACGAAGGAGTTCATGCTCAGACATGATGCAATGTTCTATAATGGCCATCCCAGTGCTCTGACTTAAACATCATCAAAAATCTATGGATTGATTTGAAAAGAACCATTGACGCTCTGCATCTATAAAACCTGACTGAACCGGAGACATTTTGCCATCAAGAATGGCCCAAAATGCTTTCAGTAAGAACTCAGTCACTTATCCTCAACTATAAGAAGCATCTACAGGCTGTTATTTCAGCAAAAGGTGGCTGTACAAAGATTGATGTCAATATTCTGTTGGGGTGCCCAGATTTTTGCACCTGTCTTTTTTTTGTTAAGCCTTTAATTGCATTGCATCTGTTGGTTAAATAAATGTTATGTTAGGACTGAAATGTTTTTCCCTAGGGTATAAAACATCCATTGATATCCAACGTGGAAGAAAGTAGTTTCTCATACAAAAGGGTTTTTGAGACTCTCCATGTTTGATTTGTGTTTTTACAATTATGCCGTCAAACTGTTGTATAAACACAACATCACACTCGTAGCAGTGCGAAATGGCTGTATATCAGCACTGGTGGGGGCACTAAGGCACTCGGCCTGCAGCCTTGCACGCCTCCCACCAGTGCCAATATACAGCCATATCGCACTACTCGTGTGATATTGCTCATATATATATATATATATATATATATATATATATATATATATATATATATATATATATATATATATATATATATATATATATATACACACACACACACAGTATAAAATTAATTGTTTATAGGAAAACTCCCATCAAGATAGTGTGTGTTTAACTATTGTGTAACTATCTAAAACACATCAGAACTGACAATATTTTGAATATCAAGATCAAGTTTCCAATGTCCAGCTTTAGTGTTTGTTACTGGGGTGAAAATGGAGTTGATTAGTGTTAAACCTAATCTCCATTGTTCCCAAAAGCCAGGCAATTTCAAATACTTTCATTTTTTAGATAACAATAACTGAATTACCTCTATTTCATCCCTCTTTCGCTGTTTCCCCCTCCTCTTTGCTAATTTTGTTGATGAGTTTTGACTTTTTTTTTTTTTTTTTACAGATAACCGAGCTCCACAACATAAAGAACATCACACGAATGCCACGAGAGACCAAGAAACACGCAGTGGCCATTATTTTCTGTGATGAGACGTCAAAGACATTTGCCTGTGAGTCAGGTAAGCACTGTCTCCAACAAGAAAAGCGTATGTTGTAGTTCTCAATTGTGTCCAGAATGGCTTCATTTGTTTCAAGATGTGCAGTATTGATTTTCTATATCTGAAATATTAGTTTATTCTCTGATTTACAACCTTGAAACTAAAGAAAGAGCTAGGAATTGTCCAGACTATTAAGGCTAGTGAGTGTTTGAAGAGCCCATTGGGAGACACATAATAGATTTTTTAAATGATGTCATGGCTTGTGTCATAGAGAGTAAGAATATGGCCAAAGGCAGCAGCAAGAGAAAAAAAAGAACAAGAGGAAGGCTTAACACACACATACACACACGTCTGAAATATGAATGAGATGCTTTACTCACCATTAGCTTGGCAGAAGAATGTGTTTTCCCCCTTGTGTTTTCTCTCCTCTCACACTGAAAATCTTGTAGTGGAAAGATGGCAATGTCAAAACAGATCTAAGTGTTCTCACAGGAGAAAGAATAAAAACACCCAGAATACAAAGATTGTTCACTGCTTCTGAATCCAATGGCTATTAGTGTGATTTATTAGGAGATCACGTTTGAACAATAGGTGTCCCTGTAAAAAAAAAAAAAAAAAAAAAAGATATGATGTATTCAGTTTGAGATGATGATGACAAACAAGACATTTGTTGCCAATATTTGAAAGTGTCAGTAGTGTCAAAAGGCAAAAATCTTAAAAAAAAAAAGAAAAAAAAAAGGAGTTATTAACAATTTTCAAAATTAATTAAAATGTTTGTTCTGCCCTGAAACACTTTCCACACCCATTGGGAAATTCAAACTTTCAGAAACTTGTTAGAGAAATTGATTCTACATCAACCAAGAGATTTTCAAAATCTTTTTTTCTCTCTTTTTTTTAATTCTGAACTTAGGATTTTGCTGCTAGAAAATAGCTCAAGAGTGGATAGGAATGACATCTGAAATTCTCAGAATCAGTGCAGAATCAATTGCTCAAATGAGAGTGATTTATTCATCATCTCTACCTAAGCCTCTCTGCTTAACTGTTGGTCTCATGCCATGTTTGTATTTTTACTTATTTATTTATTTATTTATTTTTTGGTATCACTTTATTTTGATGGTCTTTTTTAAAAATTTTCTTGAATTCAAGTTACATTGCATCTACAATGCATCCAGAAAGTACGTGGAGGTGGTCAGTAACCCAATGGTCAATCTATCTGAGCTCCAGCTTTCTTCTGTGGAGAGAGGAGAACCTTAAAGAAGGACAACCATCTGTGCAGCAATCCACCAATCAGGCCTCTATGGTAGAGTGGCCAGACAAAAGCCACTCCATGCCTGGAATTTGCCAAAGGCCATCTGAAGGACTCTCAGACCATAAGAAACAAAACTCTCTGGTCTGATGAGACAAAAATTAAACTATTTGGAGTGAATGCCAGGCATTAAGTTTGGATAAAACCAGGCACCTCTTATCACCAGGCTAATACCATTCCTACAAAGAAGCATGGTGGTGGCAGTATCATGCTGTGGGTATGTTTCTCAGCAGCAGGAACTGGAAGACTAGTCAGGATAGAGGGAAAGGTGAAAGCAGCAATGCTGAATGAAAACCTGCTTCAGAGTGCTATTGACCTGCTATTGTTGTGGCTTCACAACAACTCGGTGAATGTCCTTGATTGGGCCAGCCAGAGACCAGACCTAAATCCTATTGAACCTCTCTGGAGAGATCTGAAAAAGGCTGTACACCATCACTTCCGATGCAACCTGATAGAGCTTAAGAGGTACTGCAAAGAGGAATGAGCAAAAATTCCCAAAGATAGATGTGTCAAGCCTGTGGCATCATATTCAAAAAGACTTGAGGCTGCCAATTGCTGCCAAATGTGCACCAACAAAGTATTGAGCAAAGGTAGTTAATACTTGTTTACATGTGATTATTTAGATTTTTTATTTTCTATAAATTTGCAACAATTAAAAAAAAATCACATTGTCATTATAGGGTATTGTGTGTAGAATTTTGAGGAAATAAATTAATGTAATCCATTTTGGAATAAGGCTGTAACACACAAAAAAAAATAAAAAATGGGGAAAAAGGTGAAGCCTTAAATACTTTCCGGATACATTGTACATGACAACTAATTCTCATTAGATTATAAGTAGACTGTTAGGTTGGAGTTAGGGTTAGTGTAAATTGACATGTACTGTACTTGCAAAGCTTCTTATAGCCAGTTTAATGTCTGTCGAAGGAGAAGTATCAGCAGATAGTAAGCAGACAGTCTACTAATACTCAAATGAGAAGTAATTAGCATGTAGTTGCAATAAAACAAATGTCAACAAAATGTGCAAAAGGTACCATTAAAATAAAGTGTTACTATTTTATTAACCAACATTAAAAGTTCTAATCGAATTCGCATCCAATGCACAATGCATTGTGGCCAAATTTAAAATGATATAGTAGACTATTGTGGCAACTTTGGTATACTCATGTCAACGTACTTTGATTTGTGACACTAATTTTATTTTTGAATGCTATTTAGAATGGACAGCACTAATTGGGATACAGCATGGGTATTGTTTGACTCAAGCTGATGAGAGAAATCTGATTTCAGTTCGACAATCTTAGGTAACATCCTGATTATTATGGTGGTTCTAATTATTATCTTATCAGATTTTCCCATAGTTTGAGGTTTGTTAATAGTGACTTAAGCTGCTCAGATAAATGTCAGAAGTGCTGCAATTGTGAAACAATTTGAAGTAAAAAGTTTTGTTTGTGGGGAGATTCTTGAGAACACACACGCATACAAGCCGGAGATCATGATTTGAATCATTTAATTGTACCACATTACAACACAACACAAACTATAAGAGTAAAATGAGCCCATCATTCAAGAAATCAATTCGGAGATGTTCAAAACTCTTCATTAACCTCTCTTTAATTGATTCTGAAATTTGCTTTATGCTTTATAAACAGCTGCTTGTGTACAAATCTTTACAAATACCACTTGAATCTAATATAATCAGGAATGAACAGTTAAGCAAGAAAAGTTTAGAAAAGTTTTAGCCAATTGCAAGTGTTCTTAGTGAGCTGTTTGCATATAATAATAAATGCATAGCATTAGATTATTTTAGACTCCTGAATGCACAAGCACTCTTATGAGCATTTTAATGTACAGTGAAAAAGTAGCATAGAGCACCATGTGCAGTTTAAAACTAGCCCTAGCCCCACCTGTAGTTAAAAAAATAGCCTAGACGCCATCTGCAGTTACTGTAAAAGATAAAAAAAAAAAACGCCATCTGCAGTTCAAAACTAGTTTAGAGCACCTTTGGCTTTTAAAACTAGTCTATAGTCCCGTCTGCAGTTAAAAAGTACCTTGGATTGCTATCTGCAGTAAAAAAAGAAACTAGACTAAAGTGGCATTTGCTGTGAAAAACTAGCCTAGAGTGTCATTTGCAGTAAAAACTAGCCTAGAGTGCCATGTGCAGTTAAAAGCTAGCTTAGTGTCATTTGCTGTTTAAAACTAGCCTAGATCACCATCTTATGTTAAAAAACTAGCCTATAGCACCATCTGCAGTTAAAAACTACCCTAGAGCACCATCTGCCTAGAACGTCACCTGCAGTTAAAAACTAGCCTAGAGCACCATCTGCAGTTAATAAGTGACTAGCCTAGAGCGTAATCTGCCTAGATTGCCACCTGCAGTTAAAAACTAACCTAGAGCACCACCTGCCTAGAGCACCACCTCAGTTAAAAACTAGTGCTATGTGCTGTTAAAAACTAGCCTAGAGCACCACCTGCAGTTAAAAACTAGTGCTATGTGATGTTAAAAACTAGCCTAGAGCACCACCTGCCTAGAGCACCACCTGCTGTTAAAAACTAGTGCTATGTGCTGTTAAAAACTAGCCTAGAGCACCACCTGCAGTTTAAAACTAGCCTAGAGTGCCATGTGCTGTTAAAAAAATAGCCTAAAGCACAATTGGCAGTTAAAAACAAGCCTAGAGCGCCATCTGCAGTTAAAAAAAACAGCCTAGAGCACCATGTGCCATTTAAAAAAACTAGAGCACCATGTGCTGTTAAAAACTAGCCTAGAGCACCAAATGCCATTTAAACACTAACCTAGAGTGCCATATGCTGTTAAAAGCATGCCTACAGTGTCATTTGCTGTTAAACGCTAGCCTGGAGCTCAATCTGCAGCTCTACTAATGTTTGATCTTTACAATTTTGAAAATCTTATAAGATTAAAAAAATCTTCTTAATGTGTACTCTTGCGTACCTTTAGTGAATCAACTTTCAAAACATGTAGCTACAAAACTTAAAGACCACAAATGTTTCCAACAGTTATAGTTCCTATAGAATTCAGTATATGCATGTATATATGTATGAATGCATAACTAATATGCTTAATCCACTTTGCTTAATGCATTCAGACTTTTTTTTTTTCAGTCATTCACATCAGCATAAAAACATTCACTTATTTAAATAAATGTATAACTTATAATAAGCCATGGACATTTGCCTGGCCATTATAAGGAAGATTATATTCAGGCATATATATAAGGAGCAGTGTAGATGAGCAACCTTTCATATATTTTAAAGAGCAAATTCAAGTACCTGGACTGCAGTGATGAAGCAATCAAATTGTTCAAAGTACTTTCAAGACAAGTAGTAATCATTTGTATGAAATGGCCTTGGGCAGATGGATAAGATTTCTCTTTCTGATGCATTTCTATTTTAGGTATAGGGTTTGGATAAATTTAAGGTTTAAATGTGGAATGTGTGGTTGAATTTGGTTTTAAATCTCATATCACTTTTCATATATGATTCCGCATTAAAGTAATTAATGAAGTATTCATTAAATTAGCCTTTAAATGGATGAATGTTGTGCAAAATCATGATTACATTTAAATAATATTACATTAGTACAAAGCCTCTATTCAATTTGCAGTCTGGAAATCTAACATTTAAAGAATCTATATCTACTGCAAAAGCACAAAGCTTAAAATAAGGCATATTTCATTACGCTTTGGAA